CGGGGTGGGGGGTGGGGGCTTCCTAATACAACTACTCCTATACTTCGATGGCCCGGTGTTAGGAAATGGGTCAATGGACAGGGGGTACTGCACCATTCGTTTCTTTGGGAAAACATATCTCAGGAAAGTGAAGTGAGAGCAAAGGAAGGCCTGTTTGCGGTCGAAGAGCTGCACGAAAAATTGTTTTCTGCGCGGAACTTAGTTTTTCGTTGATTGCTCACAACTTTCGAAGGGCAGCCAGCCCAAGCCGGTTATCGCGACGCTCGTCAGTGAGTGCGATGCTTTTACGCACCGAATCGGATCCCAACGAGACCACCACCTCTAGAGAGAGTTCTTTATGGGGAAAGCATAGAGGGAGGCATTTCAGATTTTATGTTCATTTCCGGCATTGTCCTTCCTGCACTTAAAAGATAGCGGCGTGTCCCGAGTAGTTATGCAATGATGACTGGCGGGGCTACCTGCTGTCAAGTTGCACTCTCGCCACCGCCGGCGTTGCAAAACATCGACAATGTAGTACTAGTAGTAGTAGTGGTAGTAGAGCAAAGGCAGTTTTTCTTTTCTAATAATCTTGGCGATGAGCAATTACTCTGAAAGGAGGTCTTATTGCCGAAGATTACCCTCCGACCGCGGCCGGCTGCGTAGCAATGCAAAGCCATTGACACTGCCCAAATTGTCGTCGTGTCGGCGGAGAGCACGTGCACCCACTGCTGAACGCTGCTGGTCCCAACATCCGCCGAGCCAGCTTGTTCGTCCGTAAGCTCAACCAATCACCTTCGTTAAGGTTAAAGTGGGAGCTCAGAGCGATCTCATTTACGCCAAGTGGCTGGATGGCGAAAAGACTGACGATGAAGACTATCAAGGGATTGAAACTTTGTGAAAAAAGTTCTTGCAGACCAGGACGAAGTAGCAGAGTCGTCGAGGGCAACAGCCCATATGGGTGTAGTTCTCTGTATGCTGTGCTTTGACCAGGAATTGCCCATAGATCGATTAATTCAACGTCATGGCACTTTTATGTTATATTTATTGTCTAATTGCAACATATCTCAAGACATCTGCCTCATTCAGCGTCTTCCTTTCTCTCCCTTCTCCCCCGCCTCCATCATCCAACGGCTGGCTGACGAGCGAGCGCTCCTCGTGTTAGTAAAATATGCGCGCTTAGGACGAACCAGGGGACCGGTTTTTCAAGAATATTCAGGCGCTCATTCGGATGCAATTCACCGCCACCGCCAACACACTTAACAAGCCGTCTCGGATATCATAACGCGTAGGTCATTCCGCGCTTCGGAAAATGGCGAACGTCCGGGGACTTCCCGAGAGAAACTACTGGCAAATTGAGAAGCATGGAAGGAAAGGTTTCAAAGTCCAGAAAATCTGAAAGCAAAGATGGGTACAAGAAAGCCAGCTGGAGTAAGTGAATACGCGATTAAAATGTAATAGCCTGGCCGCGTGTTAGGTGACATTGCTCGACGACGAGAGAGAGAATGCGTCAGACACGACACCCGCACAGGGCTGCCGACTACACTTCGCCGTGGCCACAGTTCATCCATGACGACGACGTGGCATTTCACGGGACCTCCCGGAGGGTGAGTCGTGGTTCTGATATTTTCAAAACAAATCCATAATAAGCGGCAGCTATTTTCTGATCTTAGTAATGAAGCTATTCTTTTCCCAACTACCTAGTACCCAACTTGCTGCCCTTCTCTCTGGATGGGTACCTTACAACAGAGGATTTATGAAACTATACTATTAATGAGGCCTGGACGAGATGGGATTACTGAACGGGAGGGGGTGCTAGCAACCCGTTCTTTGTCCTCCTAGCTCTAAGCTTTTGACGGGTAATCAACTGGCTATCGCTGTGTAGACGGACAGCCGCTGCAATCTGATGATGCTTTAATGAGTTCAAAAGCAATAAAGTGCCCCTTGTTGAAAAAGTCTGACAGGAGTGCTTTTTCTGATTGATTCGCACCAAATTGCCGCGACGCTTCGAAGGCAATAATCACTTCAGAGTTTCTTGATAAAAACGCCCCTTCTATTAAAAAGGCGGTAAAAGGTTTCTGATGTATAATGAAAATTGCCATGATAAAGGGATGTAACGGTTTTGGAGACGCCGTTAAAACTGGAGTCGTTATATGGAAATGTGTTTCAGAGAAAGAAAAGCGAAGAGAAGGCGTTTATGAGAGGATTGGCGACAAATCCTCTCCCAGCTCTTGAGCTTAGCTCTGCTTAAGATAAAATCGTTCCACACCCTCTCTGTAATATTCTGTAGGGTCCATAGATCGCAAGAATTCGAGAAGCTATCTCAAACGTCGTCGTTAATGGGCTATTTCTACAGGGGTTCGACTGGGACTGACAGCAATTGATGGGATCCTTTTTCTCTGAGTGCACCACATACATGTAGGCGTCTTAACTGGCAAATCCGAAAAAAGGCGATCTCATTTCCCCCAAAGGACCCGTTTTCATGGCTACTTCGTATTGCCATTTCTTCAGATTCCAGCTTGATTCCCCATAAGGCCTCATGAAGGAAACAATCGATAATTCTGATTCTGATCGTCGACACCGGGAATGTGTGTGATGGCATGGTGCAGGGGTTTGTTTGTTTTGTTGCCGGACCGCGCTTGATCAAACCAAATGCAGTGGCTTCGTTGAATAGCGTGTTACTGATGTTAGCGAAGGAAGTGGTAGCCAACTCAGCTTGAACTACCGCATGTGGTCATCACTGGTCTCCAGAAGTGGCCCCAGATGGAAATCCTTCCCCAGCCAAGAGGCCTCGTTCGGGACGAGTTCACAGAGTCCAACTATCCCGACTGACTTACAGAACTTCACATTTGAATGCCCTTTCATTTGTATATTTTTGATCTTTTGGAATGATCAGGTTTATGTGAGTTTAATGTGATGTCGGGTCGTCGCCGCAGAGTTGTTTTTCAGTCTCATATGTTTTAGCGGCGACAAAAGCGCCCCGATGGAGAGTGTTTGACGAGGCGAGAGGCGTTGAGAGAGCCTGATGGGGGTGCTAGCTGAGGCAGCTGAGAGAGTGCAGAGACATCCCACAGCAGCTCACACAAAACCTACAATGACCATCCGGCGCGTAATTGCATTCGAAAGTGAATCGGCGCATGAGAAACGGGGCGGAGTCGACAAGGAAACGGAGGGAACATCAAGGAAGACAAGTTCACATCGGGAAAAAACACCCGACTATTACCGCAACCGTTACCCATGTTCTGGTTTATGACTGACGACGTAGCCCAGTGCCCACCAAAAGGTGCCGCCTGCACCTATGGTGAACCAGGCCTCACCTGACCAACTGGTTACTTCCCCCTTTCAGGGACAGCCAATTATGACCAGAATTCTTCTGTGGAGTAATTAGTGAAAATACGACTCGGGTAAATCCCTCCCTATACGTTATTGCAATAGCGAAATGGGGATGTGAGAGGCTAATCGGAAATTGGATGCGTAACTCATCCTCTTATGAGATTAGTCGACGATTTCTCCCTCTCTAATTCATATGGGAGCCCATTCATTGTTCTGAAGGAACATTCTGAGCTGAGACCTCAACCTATTGAGTACATACTCAGGTCACTTGAGAGTCGTCTGGATGGTTTGCTTCGGCGACAAAAAAGGCTTGCGCCCAATGTAATAAACCCTAAGCGGCAGGAAATGCCGACTTTTCAGGAACGACCGCCTTTAAGTGGATAAGTCCTAACAGGATTAAGCCAAGGGTAATAATAGATGTGATATGGTACTGTTGGGCCAGAATTTACTTGGAAAAGGCCTAATCTTCTTATGGCCACCCTTATACGATTATATCAACAGAACAGTAATGAGGGATCTCATTTTATGGTATCAGCCCGTTCTTTGGCTCTGGACGGCACTTCCTTTACATTCCTTCAGCGTTGTAATTGAACATGGTGTTATCTATAGGGGTCCCGTCATATGGGGCGATGGTAATAGGCTATTTTATGACTGCAGCGGGTGCTGTTCTGACGTCGTGATTGACCTTGAAAAAGGACAACAGGAGGCACTTAATAACGGCTCACTTAGTAACAATCGCGAATAACAAATGTGACGGTCAACCCCGATAGGCCTTAAGCGCCCTGCACTGAAGGCCCCTGCACTGAATGCTGTTTCCACCCGAAGTTGAAAAGTTCTTCGAAAATGTACGGAAACACTTTTGGTGGTTAGTGATGACCAAAAACCAACAAAACTCTTTATTACCCTTCTTCTTAGAACCTAGGACAGACAGGAAGCCCGTCTGATCAGATAAGTCCACGGATGAGCCTCAAAACTGTTGGACTTGGCAACCCGTCCTAAGTAAACTTAGGTGGCTTTTTCTTGCCATAAGGCCCTACTATGTAGCTAATCCAAATCTTTAAAAGATCCCTGAGGGTTTTCATTCAACTTTGCGTACTGAGTCTTCAGTTATGCCTGTTTTGACCGTATGGACCGGAGGTGTTCAGGTTTGTGAAGTGGTCTAGCTGGAGCCGATTTATCAGCACAGCAAGCATAGGACTATCTTATCACATAGCCAGGAAGTTTTTAGAGCCCATAGACACAACGATTTCCATTCTCATTATCTCTCCATGGGTAAAAAGTTCATTCATGAATACTTTATAACCTACTTCGTAGTAATTATAATGATTGTGTGGGAGAGGGTCGTAAATATTGCTTATTAGTGGCAGGCGGCAGTCGAAGAGAGTGGATGCCAGCAGATATGAGCGCAACGGGCTATGAGACATGAATAGGGCATCGGGTAGATGTCTGGTCATTTACCCTTCCCTTCTCGAGTGCAGGCGAAGACATTCTCTTCGAAATCCCATTACCTCAAAATCTTTCCAGAATGGGTGGTATCAGGTTACTGGGTGCAATCATATACTGCAGCTGTTCGTAGATCCCGTTCAGACGGAAGAAAGAAATGACTGCCTGGGACATCTATCTCGGCTCTTTTCCCGGAATGATAGCTCTGGTTGTTTTGAGAGTTATGCTATCATAAACATATTTCCAGCGAAGTCGATGATCTTGGCTTTGAATGCCCTTGGAGTGACGATAAGCTCGATGAATGCGATAAAACGGCCGAGGAGATGAGGAAGGATTATGCGAAATTCTGGGCCGATTATTTCCCTATCGTGATACGTCGAAGAAAACGTTGGGAGAAAGCCGACCCGAGACGTAATCCAAGCACACGTAAGTCGTTCATCATCATAAATACAATCGAAACAACTGCTCGCACTTCTTTGAGATCGCAAAAACCAAGGGGTGGAGTCGTAAAGTGTAGCAGTAGCACAGGGCTATAAAACAGGGTCACTCCTTATCTCGAGCCGGACTTTGATCGAACACATTTAAGAAGGGACCGCCTAGCCGTCCTTGAGGCTTAGACATGGGGCACAATATTGAGCCCACTCATTAAGGGAGAAGTGATAAGTGCTTTTTTAGCATTCTAAAGATTTCCACGGTTAGTAACCTGGTAGATTGGCCGGCATCAAAGCACTACCGTAGCGGACGGCTATCAATCTTTGTGAACCGTAGCCCGCGAACCCATTCGATGGTTCGTCATCGTCCGTCCTATCGCGACTCTACTTAGTCAACGGAATTCGTCGCTTTTCTTATCGCAGCACTTGGGCGACGATGAATTGAAAAGGGGGGGGGGAATGTGAAGGAGGGGACCGTGGGGAGAATGAGGGAACAGTTTGCGTGTAGAAAGCGGCTACCACCCCCTAAATGATGGAAATTACTCCTGAAACGAGAGTCATTCAAGTGAATAAGACGACATTGGTGGTTAGCAACATCATAAAAAGACAGCAGTGCTACTGAGGCCAGGATTGAGCAGTGGAGGGAAAGCGCGTTTGTTTGTTTCATAACCACGAACATTGTCAGCTGTTCACAGGAAACCACCCAAGTAGCAGCTAAAAAAAGTGGTTTTTCAAAATAGCATATGCTCTTATGTTGTTTGAGGTCTGAACGAGTCCTCAGAGTGCCATTTCCGCTGATAGCTCGGCCCCACTTATTCGAGCGCATGTGTTCATAGATTGTGGCAGCGGTGTTGTTGTTGACGTAAGGGATTGCGTTGCACTAATGAGGCTTGCCTTACGTCGTCGTCCTCGTCGTCTTCGGGGTCCATCGAGTAGGTGGTTCCAACCGCTACATTCGAACTCATTGGACAGGTGCTATGCAACTATAGAAACGACTTATTACAATGGGATTTAGTGTCATCGTAGTCTCCTCCTCAGATCCTCAATGTTTACCGAGCAGTGCGAGACGGTCAACAAACGCTCGTCCAACGACCCGCCACCGCCCCGTAACCGTGTTTGCTAGCAATCGCAGCACATCAAATGTCAAACGGCAATGGCTGCTGGCGTAATAGACTGGCATCGTTTCAGGAACAATGCAAGCAAGCTGTTTTTGGGGCATGGAACTGATAGCTTATCTATGTGGGACTCCTGAAGCGTCAACTCAGGCCACGTCACCCATTGGCTTAGTTCTCGGTGGTATGGGGTTGTTGTGCGTACTTGCTCATGGAACCCCAGCAGTGATTTTTGATGAGCCTGTCTGGGTTCTATTGTCAGTCAGATTGTGTCAGAGGACAACAACTCAAAAGAGTAAACACGTAAGGGGATAAAACTTCCCCAAGACCGCTTCACGTCCCGGTCAGCTTGCGGGTGGGCTGGTACAATTATTCTCTCGTCCTCTTGCGAACATCATCAGTAGGGCATCAGTGATGTAACTGAATTACACATAATCGTTTTTTATAGCGATAATCCATAAAGGACTGAATTGAGTCGAAACCTTCATACTTCTACTGCCATTTTTGAGGTCAGGCAAATTGGCATTAAATGTTTTTAACAGCTAATTAATTTCAGTGCAACGATTCATCTATAAAGGAATCCCTGCTCCACTGCGAAAAGAGGTGAGTGGTTTTGGAACGACAACAGCTGTTGTAGCCACAGTTCTGGTGACCATGATGACCTTTTGCTATACTCATAACGACCACCGATACGCGACCACCCAGAACTGAGACTGTGTAAACACACCGTTCCTACGCGACGCTTCCTATGTACACCTTTTCGGATTTTTCAATAAAACGAGACCTAATACGGTAGGAGACTGCTCTCTTTTCTAAAGCTTGGGCCATGACGAGGGAATTATCCATCTTTCCAGTCGTCACATACAAGTTCGAGGAAGTGGCGGCGCCGTTGGTAGCTGTAGTGGTGGCTGGCGGCGTAGCGTAATCGCGCCATTATCTCTACCATCGATGCAGCACGTTTCTGGTTCCCCTCCTGCTCCTCCTATTTCATGCACTGACGATCATCAGCCACCATCGGGGTTGAGGTCAAGCAAGAGCTGTAGAAATGTGGAAATATGGGCGCTCTCAGGAAACCCCCTCATTCCGACTGTGTTAAAGCAAACATTGCGCAAGTGCTCGGTCATTGTTGGATGATAACAGAGAAGAAGCAATGTGTTGTAGAGGGGGGCCTGAAGAACACTGCTCGCTATCGCAACCAATCATTATGGGCTATATCGCTTGAACGGGAATCATGTGTTGACTCAATTCCCCATCAAGGGCTCGGGGGCAATACATTGGGGGCATAAGTCACGTACGAGGTTTCCCCGCCGCTACCCTTAGGATACGCGAGTGAGCTGGGCTTTTCGACATTCTTTCTGATTAGGGCCGACCAATTTGGAATGGACCTGTCCATTACTTGGAGGCCGTGTATAACAACTATCTACCCCTTCATCAGGTAGGCAGAATCGAAGCCTTGCGGTAGAGTTACTCGAAGAAGCTAAGGAACCCAACAAGAACGTGGGAACCGCCCTGTGGAATAATATGAGCTTCTTTTCAACTTCATTGCTTGAGCTAACTAAAAGAATTATGTGGGCACCCACAGCAGCACCCTAGCCTCTGGGCCACAATGCACAACTTGCCATCCTTGGGTTAGCTCTTTTCAGGAATGAGTTGACCCACGGCTGACAAGTTCCTAAGAAGAATTGGTTTAGCAGGGCCTAGTCGAGTTGGTGTGGGCCATTTTGGAGCTTATGAAGTGACCACAGAAAGCGACTTCGATCGAAAAAACGTCAAGCTGTTTAGTTAGCAGATGCCTCGTTTTGCTTTTTTTTCTTGGCGGGAGCTGCTTATCGTGCGACAGACAAGAATGTTATCATATGTTTGCTGATTAATGGCCACTACTTCCGTGCTGCCTTCCCTGTACGTTGTATCTCCAGAAAAAAGCACGGAAATAGACGGGTTCTTTCATTGAGAATCGCCAGTCATGCGTAAGCTGTGAGAATCACATTCAGGGCAATGATTTTGGAAGTACGACTTGGGGAAGGAAGGTTTGCAAATGTTGCTATTTGGGGGGTCGGTTCGCTGAGTATGAGGGAACCATATAAGAAATGTGGTGAAGAAACATCGCCCACATCCTTATTCTTCTTGAAAATCACCCCAGCAGCCGTAGTAGCACATAATTCTGATTGCTTCTCTCCCTTATACATAGTGTCAGAGCGATAGTGCAATGTCAGTAATCTTGAGAAACCCATATTCGTAAAAAAGGGAAGAATGGAGTAGTGGACTGAACGTTCTTTAATTCCCAGGAAGAGTGTACAGATGTAATGTCCCTCTAGTTGTGAACTAATTACTGGCATCTGTAAACGTTTTGTCATGAGAACTTCAGCCGCGTCAGTCTGGCCGTCAACTTTTTCAAGGAACTGGAGATTTGGCTGGCGATAGAGCGCATGGCACATGTGAATGCTTGACTTCCGTTTTTCTCGCCTTCAACGACCACCACAAAAACTACCTGTTGATGTGAGCGAGCGAGACGTCAACGACCGGTCCAGTCCGTCCGAAAGGCCAACAAATCACATTCACACCAATCTGTCACTTGTTGTTACTATTCCTGGACAAAACTAAACAGTTTCTTGACGAAGCCCTTTTAGCCCTTTCCTGGAGGCTTATCCCCACACACGAGGCGTTTGGTAAGGGCCTCATTACCCTCCCTTCACTGCATGAATGACGTTGAACACACATCGAACGAATGAATGCGGCGAGGCTGGCCTTGAGATTAAAATTTGGTCAGGTCTAACAACTTCTCTAATCGCTCGCTTTATGCGGCGAATCTGCTGCGACTCCATCCATTCGCCATCGCTCTTCCCGCAAAAAAAAGCGTTGCTTTGGGATTATCGGAGGAGATTTATTAGTGGGATGTCCCATGAAGAACGATAGCTGTAATGGATGAACCCTTTAGTGACCTCCACTATGTGTACAAGGGTTTCATCTCATGTCCTTGTCCTCGTTATTCATCATTGAACCAGAGCTAATTTCAAAAAACCATCTGCTTTGTGGGAAGATTGAGAAATTCCTGGGGAGAATAACCTGGCACAGCTAAACTGTAGAAGTTTTTCGATGGGATTCGTTCCCTACTCAATTCTTTTGGCTTGCAGAAATTTGCCCTCTTAATCGCTCTCAATTCCAGATATGGTTAAGAAATTGTGCCCCCCGTGGAGCACCACGAGTGGTGAATGTACCCGAGAGTGTTGTTGAAGCAATTCGGCTCGATTTACCTCGAACGTTCCCGAACAACCAGTATCTTCGAAGTGAACGGTGAATTTGTTAAGGATTTTTTGCCCCTGCCCCAGCAACGTTTACTACCAGAGGTCTGATGATGCTTTCCTGTATGGTCCCCCTCCTTCCCCCAATCATTTCAATCTTCCCTGTTCTTTAGTGGCTTTATTCGAAGGCTTCAAACATACATGAATCACTGAGGGGAAGCCGTTGGGGTAGCAATGAGGATGACGTAGTGTAAGTGCAGATTGCCACGAGGCCATAAAAGGCAATGGCAATCATTTCTGGTCACCGTGTCACCCTAAGTGAGCATGGGGATCCGGCCAAATTGTTTCAAGAGTAGAAGTTTCTTGGCACTCAAGTGGCTCGCTTTCAACTTGCTTCAGCATGGGCAGACCTCCTGGACACCAACCACTGCCCAGACCTCCTGCACACAATGAGGTGTTTCGTCTGGTCCTCGCTTCTCTGACGCCACTTTTTGTCAACGGTCGGCGGTTGTCAGATCAAAGTCGCCGACATCGGGTGCAAATGGCCTTTTACTCTAGTCGCGGTGACCAAGTGCGACACCCCATTGAACGAGATAGCGATCATAACGTCGTCCTTAATGGCAATCATTTCATTTTTTCTACGAAAATTATTGTTACAGGGTCCGAAACGCTTTGGGACGAGTACTGTACAGCCTTGCACAGCATGTACCTTCTGTTGGATATTGCCAGGTAATGGGAAAATACGATTCATTCAGAGTTTGAACACCTGTTTCCCCGCATTTCCCCGGACAATAAAAGGTGGGGCAAGCGACAGGCGTTCCTCTGAGAGTGTTCCAGCAAAGAAAAGATAACGTTTTTGTGTCCCTGTTTACCAATGATAGGTAAACATGGCGCTGAGCCAGCAAAACTCCACATAGGCGTAGAAAGATTTCGCTTTCCAGATAGGAGGACCTTCCAACAATGGGCACCTTAGCCTATCTGGGTCACAGATATCGTGCAAAAAACGTAATCTCACTGAAAGAGCGAGGCTAATCGTAAGTGCTGGGCGCTAACTGCAAGGTGAGGGTTAGGTAAGACTTGTGCCCATGAGGGAGCGAGTAATAGGGTCTCCCAAACAATACCTATGTGGTATCTGCGCACTAATCCGTAAGCACGCATAATTGGATGCCTGCTCTCACCAGTAAACATAGTCATAAATATTCCTATATTCACTATTCTTTCTGTACTTACTGTTCTACTCCTTGATAGGCCCTTCAAAGACGATTCTGCCCACATTTTAATACTATGAATGTGAAATATTTGTTTACTCATTTTTGAGGCTGTTCAAGTTGTAGGGGCTCAATTTTGTCGCTGGTTTGATTCTACTGGTGCTCAAGGACGAGTCAAAAGCATCCGACCTGCTTGTGCAAATAGTCCGACAACGACAAGACTACTACAATGAGTCCATGTCAGGCCTGCAAAGGGATACCAAAGTACTGCAGTGGATTCTTTCGTAAGTTCAAATATTCTTCATGCGTAATTCTTTCATAACAGTCATTTGTCGTTTCTATTGGTGCTAGCCAAGAAATGGGGGGAAACGGGGTATGCTGCGTAGTGAACTGGTTCGGGTACCTCCCGGTACGAAGGTGGTGCCTCTGACGACGACGACTACTCGAAACTTTCGTCTCTCCGCTCGGCAAACATCGCTCACGACTCGAAACCAAATCACGGTCAAATACTCCTTGTATCTGACACCAATCATGGTTACCCGCCATCATAGAGTTCGGGAAAACTCGTACTAAGTATGTACTCTGTGTAAGACTGCAGCATATTCACACGTGGGAACGAGAGTCACTAGTTTCTGGAAAAACAGAGGCTATCGACGAATTGCCTTCAATAAATCTACGAGGGAAAGAAGTAAATGGACAGCCCTCGGCTATGACATTTAGCTCGACATGCCGATCCATTCATCTCCAGTTCTCTCCGAAAATCGTTTTCGAACGTGAGTCTCGCGCTTGTCGAGGAGGTGATGAGTCCTTGAAGGAATCGTAGGTAGGGGGCGGAAAGTGATTCCGATAGTCTGGGACAACGAGGAGCGTTCCGAATAGCCATTTGAAAAGAAGTGTAATTCAAAGTCATCATTGCCTGAACAATGCGACTTAATCTGCTTCAATCGGCACCTTGGGATGACCATCGGGTAGAATATGGAGGAAGAGAGGGGGGGAAGGGGGTGGGAGGGGAACAACTCGTGATCGGAATTGTAAGCGAGTTTTCGAAAAGATCGGTTCCGAATGAACCTGTTCGGGCATTAGCGACTTACCGTGTCAAATGAAATGACAGGGTCAGTTCCTGAGTAGGTTCTATTAAAGAATGCTTCGTATTTGTACTATATTGCACTCAAATACCTCTTTTCGGCTCCTCATCTCAACGGAACTTCCGGAACCAATCAAGCCAGCCAGCGTTTTGCTAGGTCGGAGATGAGACTTCTCCGACCTAGCAAAACCCTACCAAAATAGGCACTGATGGCTAAAATTTCCGAAATTCTGGAAGAACTCATCCCATTTGCAATATCAGACCCCAGGATCAGCCCACATTGACTCCCAAGCCCTAGAATTACAACGTGAAGGAGTAGTCCCTTTGCTTGGTCCTTCAAACTCAGTTCACTTTTGCCCTGCCCGATGGTGTTATCTCAGATTTCAACACCCGCGAGGGTTTTTACTCTGGGCGCCTGACTCCACATTTTGTTATTGTCTAGCCATTAATGAGAGGGATGGTAATGGTGTTGTTCACAATCAGTTATCATTAATAGGCTCGGATTGAGGTAAAGACAAGTAGCGTAGGTGTGATTCGGGGAACGACCCGAAAATCAGGGCAAACAAATATTCCCTCTATTGAGCTCTCTACTAGGAAACTCAGTTCTGATTCAGTCATAATCTCGTTGAATTTGAAGAGCGTAAAGATTCCTGCTGAGAATTCGATTTAATCAGATGTTCTCTGACTGCTGTCCTTCGCCCCTCCCCCTCCATCCTCTACCATGCTTGTCATACAAAGCCGTCATTAGGTTGCTGAATTACGGGCAAAATTTTGGGTTCTGACAACTTGGACACATGTGTCTGCCCAGAAAGCGCAATTCCGGGACCGGGCCTCATTCGATACCGAAGTTGTACCCATATCCTGTAACCTTGAGGGTCTGGGTTGATTATACCCTTCAAAGAAGGAAAACACAAGGGTCCAAAATATATCCTTGGAAGGTTGATTTTTATTTTTGCTGTCTCGCGAGCTATTCATAAATGAGGGGCAAGGTTCGCAGAAAAATATAGGGGTCCGAGAAGGGGTTAAGCCCCAACATAGCTTGATATTAGCCTACCGTGCTTGCTTGCCGAAACTTGTCTAGGCCCCTCCTCGACCTCCTTCTGTCGCTTCCCCCTGGTCATTTGCATTGAATTCGTTTGAACAAATGGCTGTCGCTGACGGGCTGTTGAGCTATTTGGTTTTAAACAAAGCTTTGGGTATGATTAGAAAACCCGTTCGGATCTGGTTTCATCGTATATCCCACTCGGGTATATGTATGTTCCATCGCTATCGAAACGAATTTGTTAGTCATGGGTGGGAGCGTTGGGGATTTGGTTGGTTCATTTGCCTACCTTATCGCCCCTAGTAAGGGCTGAATGGTCAAACTGACAAAGCGGAACCTCAGAATCTGTCCTTATCTCTTTCTATCACTATTTCAAACCAACAACAAACTTCAACATTTATATGTAGAGCCGAAATAGTTTTATCGAGTCCGAGCGATGTTCCGCAGCCATGCGGTAGTCATGTGAAATTCGAGCTGTGCAAAGTTCCGTTTGCTGTCGTTCGTTAGTTTTTCGAGACTAATTGTTCTGTCTGTTGTAAAGGACGTCACGCGCATCGAGCATGTCTACGATTCCGGCATAAAATGATAGGGAATTTCGTGAAATCGAGTGGAAGGTCGATTATTACTTATGCTAACTATGTTGGATGGGTTGGATCATGAGTTTAGAGGGCTCGGTAAGGGGAGAAGAGATCCTTGGGTTGCAGAAACTGGTCCAAAGAAGCTTCTCCTCTCTGGCTAACACTCATACACTCATACCAAACTTGATGGACTTGAACGTGCCCGTAGACATTTTTCCCGAAAACCCTCTTTTTACGATAAGTCACCAACTTTTTTCTTCCAACGGTTTGGTTCCGTACGGCCTCAGATAAAAGAGCCTAGTCCGGGAATATTCAGTAACCCAAGACAGGGTGAGACCCTTCGATTTTTGGTGGCAGAAGAAAATGGCGTGAGCCACCCTGCTATGGGAGAACTAAACAAACAAATACACAACGAGGGAGAGATCGAACGAAGAAGGCCAGCAGGGGACTGATGCTCCGCGGGTGCTGATACACCAGAGTACCTGAATAGTCAAGTCGCAGCTCTGATGGTCATACATTCAGATCTTTCTCTGTTACGAACGAAAAAGGCCGTGGTCATCGTGAAAGCAGCTGTATAATCGAATGTAGCTCATTTTGAGCCCATTCTATTGTTGTTTCGGGGATACAAAGCAAAAAAGTAATACCGATTCAGACATTAATAGATGCATACAGTCCACATTCTCATGTTGCCTTTGTAATGTTGGGGATCTCCCAGTCGACGAAAAAAGTTCAATTTTTCAGAGTTCACGAGCAGTTTCGGGAATGAGAGCATTCAAGGCTCAATACAACCTTCTTATTTCCAACTAGAAAATGTAAAGAGGCTCTGACAGAGCACTGTGATGAAAAGAATAAGTTGGAAAGGAGTCCTTTTCTAAGGAACAGACAAATACATCGCACAATCATCTGTCCATTCCCAGGGGTTACAACAGTAGAGCCCCAAAATACTTTTGGATTTTTGGTTTTTTGCGATCCTAACTGATGCCAAGTGTCACCTTGAGTACCGATCTTTCACGCGTTACTGTTTTTTGCAAAGTTTCGAGTTCAAGATTCAAAGTCGAGTGGTGTCGGGGGTGCATGTGTGAAAATGTCATGGTCGGTGTATCAGCGGTGATGAACGATTGTCGCCTTCGGTTCCTCCCACCCTTTTGAACCAGCGGAAGNAACTAGAAAATGTAAAGAGGCTCTGACAGAGCACTGTGCTGAAAAGAATAAGTTAGAAAGGAGTCCTTTTCTAAGGAACAGACAAATACATCG